TCTACTCCTACATACTGGGTCTCTAGTTTCTTCAGCAACAAAAACTATATTAGTATTGCCATTTGTCTTCTGTTCATGCACCCGGAACATGCCACTTTTATTTGGAGTTCCTTCCAACATTGTCTTCCCTGTTTGTTGATCCTTCACAAAGACGCCACTAGCATTAAATATCACATCAACATGATTATCACATGCCACTTTGTAAACACTTAACAGATTCTTCTTAATATTAGGAGCATATAGAATTCTTTTAAGTTTAATTTTCTAATCAGGCACATTCTATATGGTAGAATCACCAATTTTCTCTACACCAAGTTTAAAACCATCACCTACAATCACATTAACCTTACCACTAGTTTCAGTCAATTTATCAAGCTTACTTGGATCATTTGTCACGTGACTAGTGGCACCACTGTCAAGATACCAAGCATCATCATTCATAGTCTTAGGTGTAGCTCAGTAAGCACTGTCAAACTCAGAATAGTCACTGTTTCTGGGACCATTACTCTGTCTTCTATTACCTGAACCAAGAAGAAAAGATTTATCATATCTATAGAAGCAGTCTTCAATAACATGACCAAACCTCTGACATAGTTGACATTTAGGTTTTTCATGGTTGTTGTCATTACCAAAGAAACCATGACCTCCTCTGTAGCTCCTTCCTCTGCCACGGCGGCCTCTATTGTTTCTTCCTCCACACCAGCTGTTTTGGTAGTTGGACCCATTGTCTATTTAGGTAAGACTGACATAATTGCTATTTAATGACAGGTTTGCTATTTGGTTGAGCTGATCTAGTCGGCTCTCAAAGGTGACCAAAGAGGCTTGGAGCTCAATCCAAGTGATTTCATTAGCTTGATTTGACAACTAGACCACCACAGGATTATAATCTGCATCAAGGCCAGCAAGTGCCTGAATAATAAGGTTAGGTACAGAGATAGGACTCCCTACAAGTTTCAGTTGACCAGCAATGCTCTTTAGATTGGTCAAGTATTTTGCCATTTTCATGTTTCCTTTTTTGGTGTGTTGCAGTTCGGACTGCAGCATGAGCAGACATGACTTCATCTGTGCTCCAGCAAGCAGCTTTGCAGCATTCCAGAGGCCGTCAGAGGTGGATACACCAGTCATCTCAAAGGAAATATCTAGAGTCATAGTATTCAGGAGCCAGCCGAATAGCAACTGGTTAGCAGACTCCCAGTCTTCGAACGTCGATTCAGTTTGGAGACATCATTCTTTGTAATAAATTGTGGCGGGCAAGGCTTGGTGCCATTAATGAAGCCCTCAAGCTTGTAGCCTTTGGTGATTGGCAAGACATGCATAAGCCAGATAGAATAGTTTGTTCTGTCCAACTTGACAGAACACCCTTGAGAAAGAGGACTTGATTTTTCGGTGAGCCTAGCAAGGAAAGAAGCAGAAAGGCCAGAACTGGTTCCACTGCTGTTGGTTTCTGTCGTGGTGACTTGGGATCCACGGGAACCTTCATTCGGTGAACTAGACATGGTGGCGGCGAGCCTATTTCCCCTGATACCAAGACAAAATTCTAGGGATTTGAGAATTGTATATTATATTTCACGCACTAATAGTGTATAGGAGGCAGCTATAAATAGAGGGTTGGTGAAACCCTAGGACAAGGAGAAAAATTACATGTGTACTGTTACAATACAAATGTACAAAGCAATATTAACCTAATATGTTATAGACTTGGGCTTGGACTTCTTAGTGGGCTTTTTATGTATAAACCCAATTCTCTTGACAATCTGAAACAATAAACAAACAGACAAAACAACAACCAACAAAATCAAAAAACTAATAGTAGAAACAGATTATAAAAAGAAATCATGCAGCAACACATCCTACAACATTGACCTCATGTTGCAAAGTCTAGGACACAAAACCAAAGTATGAGCTATAGCTCACAGCAGCTAAGTAACTACCATCCATTACACTTTAGAGAAATCCAATGATCATAAGCATCATTTGCACTTACTAACATGCAGAACAAAAGCATTGAATTGTGTCACTAAGAGATGAAGCTCATGCATAGGTGCCCCATGGGGTATTAAAAAAAATTCCTAGCAAGATACACCCAATAACCAATGAACATTAGTAGGATGCTCGCCCCGTGGGCGCTTCCTTGAAAAGCAACACTCCTTCTTGGAGACAGAAAGTTGATCTTGGGAAGTAAAGCACAGTTTCGTAGACCCCAATCAACAAGTAGAAGAATAATAGTGTCACCACCTTAAACTCCCAAAGCAAATGAAGGCATAGGAATTCTCTAGTTTCCTGCAAGTTCTTGAACTTGCAACAACTGAAGAAATGGTACAAGGATCTACCGATTGCTCTGGCATGTAATGATGCTCCTCAAAGCACCTTAAAAAGCTAAGATAGTCAAAAGCTATATGACTCTATATTTTCACTTCACTGGAACCGTGAAAGAAAAAAAAAATATTTGAGATGGAGTTGAGAGGTACAAATTAAAACACATCACTTTTTCATCATGTGAAAGCACAGCCTATGGGTGCTCATATATAATCAATACTTTACTCCCTTAATCCAACTCTAAATTAATTTGACAAAAAAAATAGATAGGGGTTGAGACAGCCATTGTGGTCTACTGTAAAAAGTAGTCAAGCCTCCAACAAAATTTTTAAGAAAATAAGTTGCAAATATTTACCGTTGTAATCAGATCTAACATAAAAGGATCTTACCCTCAAACATAATTATGTCGCTAAACAATGCTTCAAAATTATAACCTATACAAAAAAAATTATAACAAACCTAGGCCATCTGATAGGCTTAAAAGAGTCTAGGTTTGGCTTCTTAAGAAAAACATGTCTTTAGAAAAGCCTAGGCCTATTCCTATTTCTAAATAGGTTTGGCCAAGCCAAATATAGGCCACGTCACAGGTCTCTGACAGGTTGCTTAGCCTATTTTTATTTCTAGTAAATGTAATATAACCATTTACCTCTCCAAATCTCTCCACCTATGGAGAAATTTTTTTGCCATTTTTCCTTTCTCCTGCTCTTCTTCCCTTATATGATTGAGTAAACTTATTTCTCTGTGTATTTTTATTCTTCACTTTCTCTCCTCTTTCATTTTCTTTCCATCCAAACAAAAATGTTAGAAAATGTGATAATTTATAAGTTTGGGTAAAGGTCTCTACCCTGATCTTATTTTTCAAGTATTGGACTTTTTTATGGTGAATCCAACACCTTGATTTTATCTTTTTGATATATCTAGCACCCTAATCTTATTTTTGGTGCATTTGCTAGTTGTGCAAAAATAAACATAAAAAATGTACCAAAAAAATAAGATAAGGGTGCTAGATGTAAAAAAAAAAAAAAGATTAAGGTGTTAGATTTATCATAAACATTATCATGGTGCCATATGCACTTAAGAAAAAAGATCGGGGGTGTTGGACAAACCTTTATCCCATAAGTTCTTATCAAATATTGATAAATCTTTATCCAAAAATTATTAAAATAATTTATAAGTCTTAATCCAAAATTTGAAAGTCCTTTGGAGGATTGGTAAATGTTAAAATTTGATTCCTAAATAATAATATATAAATTGTTAAATATTAAAGTGTTGCTATTTTAATGATATATTATTACAAAAATATAATATTTTTAATTACTTAATAGTGTTGTTGCTGGCAATGAAACCTCTTAGCATTTATTTATAATTTTAGGGACTTAAGCATGTTAATTTTTTCATAAGGTTCTTCATTTATATATTTCTGATACTTTTTTTAATAATTTTTTTGATCAATTAATAGTCAAAATAATAGTCATGGAGGACGACATTACTCCAATTTTAATACTACCTTCTATTCATAAGGGTGTGTTTGGGTGACACCCCAAACCATGGTTTGGGGAATAAATCACCCAAACACCCCCCAAAAACCAAAACCATAGTTTTGGAAAAAGCAAAAAATTTTTGCTTTTGGAGAAAAAAGGGAAAGTGTGAGAGTCTATATGATATGTATCTGTTATTTTTTTATAAAACATATTTAATCTTATATTTATAAATATATATACATATTAATTATTTATTAATTATATTATCTTATGTATTATTAATTATGTTGGTAAAAAATATATTATTAACAATTTTATTCCTTCAAATTAAAATATATCATAAAATCTATTTTTCTGTAATTATCATATTAACTTATGTCTTTTTTTTAGTAATTTGTATATATAAAAAGTGCTTCTGATAACAACTATCCAAACACTTTCACTTCTCAGAATCACTTTTTTACAAAATCTATTCTTCACAGAATCTATTCTCCTCAGAATCTATTCTCCAGAATCACTTTTCCAAACCACGGTTTGGTTTCATCCAAACACACCCTTAATATATCTAAATATAAGACTCCTAATTCACTTTATTTTTTATATTTATTTATTTATTCTGAGGTAGTCCTTGTAATAATTATATTTCTAATCAATATACTTGATTAACAATGATATTTTATAGAAAAACAACTATTTATTATAAATGATTAATTTAAATAATTTTTTTAATTTATTTAAATTAGTTAATTAACTTTTATATTAAGAACTGGTGCACACTTTAGATTTTGTTTTAGCATGCCCATTAACAATTTATACATTTTTTTCTAAAGTAGTCCTTCTAACAATGATAGTTCTAGTCAATACACTTGATTAGCAAGGATATTTTAGGAAAGACAACACCTATTTAGAACAAATAACTAACTCAACTTACTTCTTTAATCTTTTTAAATTAGTTAACTGGCTCTTATAATTAGGACCTGAGGTGGAGAGCACCATTGTTTTTAATGAAACGCATTATAAAAGTGTGTATGGCATAAAAGTGATTTTAAGAAATTCAAAATAAGTACCCGTAAGAAAAAAATCATTATGAGTATATAATTCATGGTGCTGCTTCAGGGGGAAAAGAAAGAGAGGGAAAAATGATTTATTGATTATTGAATTACTGATTGCTGATTCCAGTCGATCGACTCGGCATTTGTTGAATGTATTTTATTCTCCTCTCTGACTTCGGACCCTAGCCACCGCCAGCAGCTGGTCGCCCCCATTCTTCGCCGCGTCACTTTTATTCTCCTCCTCTTCAAACTTCTTCTGGTAAGGTTTTTTTTTTTTTGTCGCTTTCGCTACCCATTTTGGATTCTTTTCCGCGTGGCTTCTTTGTTATTCTTGTTCTTTGCTATTCTTCAGCCATATGTTGAGTCGGGTGAAATCAATTTCGGATTTTGATTCATTATTTTTTTCTAGCTGTCTGACAATGAAACTTAATTTTAGCTTTTATTTTGGGGACCAGCAAAACTTAGTTTTAGTCAGCTTAATCGTCTGTTCTCGTTCTGGGAAGTCTGGGCTCTCCCAGTGTGTGTTTTCTGAATTTTAGGCCATCGGCTCTCACTGTGTGTTTAAGTGGATGGAATATTGTAATCTAAGTTGGGATCCTTTATCAGTTTAGCGCAAATTTCTTTTTTCTTTTTGGCAATCTTGAGGGCCTTTATTCTTCAAGTAGGTAATTTGTTCTCCACTCCTTTCCACAGACCTGATTTGTGTATTCAACAATTTAATAACTAATAAATGTCATTTTAAACAAGCACGCCAGAGGTAAAATAAAGATGTTCATTATAAGCTACCTATAAAATTGCAAAACAAATTAATTGTTTGTCTTAAATTTCTTTTCGTATCACTAATATTCTCTAAAAGATCTTCAATGTGTATATGAATGGGTGAAAATCAATTGAATGGAAGGGGTGTACCAGGGAGATAGAATTGCTGAATAATTCCTGACTTCATTCAATATTGCAGTGCAGTCACTGTGTCAGAGGATTACTCCTTTTATAGAGGAATTAAGAGAAAATACAACGGCTATTAACTAACTAAACTAACTAACCCTAACAGCTAATTAATGACTAACCTCTAATGTCTAATATACCCTTGCATGGGTAATACGCATTATGAATACATAACATAGATGCTTATGCTTTGAGTAATATCTGATGTACTATTCGGAAAATTCTCTCATTCCCGACCCCCCCGTGGGGACTATCTGTCAGAATTTGCATGTATTTGTATGTATATTATATTCAACAGACTGACACCAAAAGAGTAAAAGATAGGTCCATAACAGACTAGCTACCAATTAGAGCATTGTTTTTAAAGAAGAATATTCACTGTCCTAATGTCAGTTGCAAAACTGACTATTAATCTCAGATGAAGGAATCAAGTAGTTTTCAAGACTAGAATTTACTTTCAAATCCACAGATTTACTTTCTTCTTTTTTTCCTTCTGCTTCATAACATCTGTTTGTGTTAATATTTAAACATCCTGAAACTGATTATTATCATTATTTTTGCAATCCAAAATTAATGGACCAAGAACAATATTTTATGACAGAGTGCAGTTGATAATGGTACATATCATGAAAGGATGACACATGGATCCAGAAGGCAAGAAGTTTGGAGGAGGTAATCATTTGTCATACTGTGCTTTGCTTCGTGTGTGTACTTTAATGCATCTTGTTTTGATTCTTATTGTCTGAATTTATATGTATGATGATGCTTTGGCTGTCCTGAATTGTTTTTTCTTCTTTTCAATATTCTTTTAGTTGATTTATTTTGAACAGGATCTTTTTATTGTAAATAAGTTTTTTGAGGGATAATAGGCTGTTCGTGTGATCTATTAGAGATCCTTACGTCCCTTCACTTGAAGTTGATCCAGCCGTAAGTGGTTTATGAGGACATTGGGGATATCTTGGCTATAATGAGTATGATAGGCTTTTAGTTTTCTTGAAGCCTTTGATAGAGTACCATATAATATAGCATTGTGGGTGAAATTAGTGTAGCATAATTTTGAGGAGTTGTTAATTTATTTTCTGTTACAAATAATAAAGATGTTATTTATAAATATCTCAATTAGGATTTGTTTATTATTGAGTCAATGCTGGTTAGGATCTAGTCAGTTATTTTCTAATTTACTTATTATTTAATATCTGTTTTTATATCATAAATAAAGTAGAAGCTTGTAGAGGTACATCATAATCCTTTTACTTTCAGCATAAAATTTCATATTAATGTGTGTAGGTTATGCATGTGATGCTCTTCTTATCAAGTTTACTGCGTAATTGACAGTATGAGTGGACTGAAGCATTTTTGTGTGACGCATGTTTATAATAAATGAAATTCCTCAATTTTTTTGGGTCATGAAATACATTTTATCATTATTGTTCTGTATTTTTTCTCATGTTTTGTATTCTTCTTTTGAATATTTTGTTTGAAGACTCTAGGAAATTGTAAATATAGAACGCCATAAGAATCTGTTTTGGGAATTTCAGCCAAAGCTAAATCCTATCTTAGTCTAATGAGTCCTCTCCATTTTGCTTAAAATCCATTGTTTCATTTTAATTGTGTTGGCTTTTCCAATTTGAATTGGACCCTTCTAATATTCTTGATCTGACTTCTTTTAACAATTTATGGGTGAAATCACCTACAGCTTTTTCTTTGGTTAACGTATTTCTCATTGAATTCGTACAATGTTATTTCAACAATTAGGACCGAGGGAATTGACAGGGGCTGCAGATCTTGTAAATCATTTCAAATTACTACCCCACTATGACTTTTTCTGCAAAAGGTCACTTCCTGAGTCAATTTTGGACTCACATTATCTTTACAATGTCGTGGGAGACACAGAAATTAGAAGAGGAGATAATTTGCAGTTGGATCAGCTTATTCAAAATTCATCCTTTTCTAGAGATACAAGTGCTTGTATACGGCCTTTTGACTTAGATGTTCTAAAGGAAGCCTTTCAACTAAGGGAAACAGGTTCCATTGATTTGCCTCCGGTAAGAAACTTTGAACTTCATTTTGCCATTACATGATTGTTCTATATACCTCATAGACTATTGTTCTTGTCATCTTATTCATAGGCCGAGAAGGGGGTTCCCACCACTGTTGGAAAATCAAAAATTGAGTCTAAAGACAAGGAGAAGAAGCATAAAAAGCACAAGGACAGGGACAAAGAGAAGGACAAGGAGCATAAGAAGCACAAGCATCGTCATAAAGACCGAAGCAAAGATAAAGACAAGGAAAAAAAGAAGGATAAGAGTGATCATCATGATTCCAGTGCTGATCATGGCAAGAAGCACCATGAAAAGGTTGAGGAATTTTTCTCTGCTGATACTTTTTTCTCTTTCAGAATTCTGAAGTATTAGATCTTGATGCTGTCATTTCACATTATGATTAAATGAATTAGTTTCTTCATTGAATATCTTATGAAATTTGTGCGTTTTGGTTATCTATGAATTTTAAGTTTTATTGATATCGTCAACCCTTAGTTGCTTGTGAATAAAGATCTAATTTAGGACGTGGGTTTGGTTTGATGTCATCATTTGAAGAGGAAATAAGAGGATTTGTTTTATTGTGTTTCAAAATTATGGGAAAACATTGTTCTGTACAATTGTTTTTTTCCGTCCGTATGATTACAGAAAAGGAAGCATGATGGAGATGAAGATATTATTGATGTACACAAACACAAAAAAAGTAAGGTAATGAAGTGAAAACCTTTGTAGCATTTCCTTCTGTTTATTTGGTGCTTTTCCTTCTTTGTACATCAATACTATTTTCTTGTGGCTTCTCCTTGTTTCTTTATTGAATTTTTCTTTTCATTTTTTTAAAAATTTTATTGCAGCACAAGAGCTCGAAAATCAGCGAATTGGGGGCAATAAAGGTAGCCGGCTAGAATGGTCACATGCTGTAGTTCACTTCTTTTCCTCATACGGTTATTGTCTTCTCTAAAGTCTGGAGGCGTCTTTGGCTAGAAATTATCAAATTTCTTGAGGTACTTATTATATTTGCCACAATCTCAATTTTTCTTTATGCTGTTTATGTGCTTTAGTGGCTTTCAGAGTTGCCTTTTGTTTTAGGAATGGTGGCAGTTGATTATTCATCTTCAATTCTCTTTTCCTTTGGGTTTCAAAGCATTAACTTTGTTTATTATGTACGCCATTTGTTTTGAGAAAGAAATTGCTTATCTTTTCAGCTATTCATTGAATTCCTGATTGTAGTTGTATAATTATCATGGTTGTGTAGTGGACAAAATTTGTGAACCTAGCAGCAAGATTTACCATTTTTTGGTACTTTGAAACAATGGAAAGTGGAGAATGGATTTGCAATCATGAATCATCATTTACGGAAAATTTCAGCATAAATTTAACTTTCCCTGTCGTGATTCTAAGACATGATTTATTGACTCATTCTTCCCATTGAGTACGAGTGAGAAAAAAATGGTATGCATCTTAGAATCGGGTGGTCTGGTTGTTTTGCATAGAGCTTGTACTGTTAGGCATTTCAGCATCTTAGGGCAGAAGAGGGAAAAAATAATATAGAGTACTCTTTTGTTTGATTTTGATAGAGTTCAGCTGGTATAAATCGGAATATAGGTTGAAAAATAAAAGCTTAGACTCCTTGACAGATAATTACAGCAAAAAGGAGGGAGAGAATAGGAGCTTCGGGTTGACTTTTGTTATCCCAAAAGCAACTTTAAAAGCTTCAAAGCCAATTTGAGCCCAAAAATTATGGGCTTATTTAGATTAATGACTGTAAAACTGGCTTTTTCCCAATTGTATTTTGCAAACTTAAGTTGGGATAGAAGTCAATTAGTGTAATGCAATTTATGTTTGAATGCACTTTTAAAAAGTGTTAGTTTGACAAAAATGGAATTTTTTTTTTTTTGGGATGATGTAATTGAAAAGCAAGTTTAGATGTAAAATAATTGAGAAGCATGAGTTTTATAATATGTATCATGTGGATAATTTGATAACTTTAAGAGGATATTAAAATTATAAAGATAAGAGAGTTAATGTATTATTGGAAAAAAATGTTAATACTGAAATATTAATAGATATATTTAATGGATGCAAATGTATACAAGTCACAAATCATAATAATGTGAAATTAACCAAATGATATTATATAATTAATTAGATATCGTGCTATTTGGTCTCTAATTATGTTGCAAACATAATTTATCTGTCTTAAAGATGATTTAGCTAAATTTGTTAAGGATGCTTCACCTACTTGACAATTATTCTCTGGCTCAATTTTACTTTCATCGTCAACTTATATGAATTACACCTCAGTTCCAGAATTTTTTTTTAATAAAATCATGTATAGTCATTGTTGCACAAATTTTTTATGTATTTGTGCTTGACACTTGAATTATGCATATATCATAAGATTAGAAACCTATTTTTTCAAATTCTAAAGATTTGTCTATAGTGCACCTTGAATGATAATAATTAAAATCTTGCTATCATTTGCCAATTAGTTGATAGTGTTTGTGGTACGTTCTTGAATTTTAGGAGGATAGAAAAGGAGAAAGAGGGAAAAGAGTGACAGAGAGAGAGAGAAGAGAGAAACAAGAACAGGGGAGTTTGGTGGATAATCCTGGAATTCACTCAAAGTCAGTACATCTCGGTTTGATCCTAGAATCATCCTTTTATAGAAGGAAACTAACTAACTAACTAACGTAGTCTCGGAAAATGATAATCTAACGGCTATATTAAAATGTCCTAACTACCCTTACTTATATAACACGAATTATAATTACATAACAATGCCCTCCCCTTCAAAAGATCCTTGCCCTCAAGGATCTGGAATTACAAAATTAGGAAATTGCTGTTGAAACTGAAAAAGAGGCATCCATGAAGCTTCTTCATCAGGTTTCCCCTTCCACTGGACTAGAACCTCAGTGATTATGCGCTGCTTCCTTCTGCCCATTCTTTTGTTTAAGATCTGCTCAGGTTCCTGAACGATAGGTAACTCAGGAAAATCAACTGGTGGATGTCGGGGTCTAACAGTGGGGTCAGGACACAATTTAAGCATGGAAATGTGAAAAACAGAATGGATTCTGGTTTCAGGAGGAAGATCCAGTCTGTACGCAACCTTCCCGATTCTCTCTAGGATTTTGTAAGGCCCAAAATACCTAGGAGCCAGCTTTTGAGAACTTCTTGAGGCTGCAGAAATTTGCCTATAAGGCTGTAATTTTAGGAAAACCCATTGTCCTACAGTAAATTCTCTGTCAATCCTGTGAGAGTCAGCTTTTTGTTTCATTATATTTGCAGCCCGGTGTAAATGATGTTTGAGGATAGCTAACATCTCTTCTCTTGCTGAAAAACTTCTGTCTACAGCTTCTAGTACCGAATTATGAGGTAGGTAAGGGGAATGAACAGGAGGCTTTTGTCCATACAGTAATTCGTAGGGAGAGGCCTTTGTAGATGAGTGAAAATTGGTGTTGTACCACCATTCTGCTTGAGATAACCATCTGCACCACTCTTTAGGTTTTTCCCAAGACATACATCTTAAATAAGTCTCCAAACACCGGTTAAGGACTTCGGATTGGCCATCCGTTTGGGGATGGTATGAAGAAGATAATTTCTGATCTACTCCCATCACTTTTAAAAACTCCTTCCAAAAATTACTCACAAATAAGGGGTCCCGATCACTAATGATCTCTGCTGGAGCTCCATGTAGTTTAAACACATGATCCATGAATAATTGGGCCAAGCTAGATGCAGAATATGGATGAGAAAGGGGAATAAAATGAGCATATTTACTCATTCTATCAATAATGACCCATATAGCATCCTTCCCATGAGATTTAGGAAGACCATCAATAAAATCCATTGCAATGCTTTCCCAAATCCTACTAGGAATAGGTAATGGCTGTAGTAATCCAGGAGAAGCAGTGGTCTCATATTTGCACCGTGCACATGTGTCACAGTGTTTAACAAAATCTGCAATATCATGGATCATCTTCTTCCACCAAAAAAGGCTTTTAACACGCTGGTAGGTAGCTTGAATACCAGAATGCCCTCCTTGGGGACTAGTGTGCAGCCATTCCAGAATCTGTTGTCTTAGAGCCTGATCAGCCCCTATAAACAGCTTGCCTTTCCTCCTTAATAAGTCACCATCCCAAGAAAAATGGCTCCACTGACCGTCTTGCTCCTCAACCCGCTGTTTAATGGCTGAAACAGCATCATCCTGAGTCCAACTAGCTTTGATTTTATTCAGAAGTTCAGGGGAAGATGTATCAAATGCCATCTGCAGTAGTTGCTGCCGTGGTACCCTAGAAAGAGCATCTGCTGCTGAGTTATCATTCCCCTTTTTGTAGAGAATTTCATAATCAAACCCAGCAAGTTTAGCTACCCAAAATCGTTGAAAAGGAGTGTTGAGTTGCTGTCCTAGTAAGTATTTAAGACTCTGCTGGTCAGTCTTAATAATAAATTTCCTTCTTTCTAAGTATTGATGCCATTGTAAGACAGCCATAACCACTGCCATTAGTTCCTTTTCATAAACCGAGAGCTTTTGATGCTGTGGAGACAGACCCTTGCTGAAAAATGCAATAGGTTGCCCCTGTTGCATAAGCACTGCCCCAATGCCTAATCCACATGCGTCTGCCTCCACCACGAATTGTTTAGAAAAATCAGGCAAAGTAAGCACTGGAGCGGAAGTGAGAGCATCTTGAAGCTGTTGGAAAGCTCCACTAGCAGCTGGTGACCACTGAAACCCATTCTTCTTCAACAAATTAGTGAGAGGTCTAGCAATAGAGCCGTAATTTTTTATAAAACGTCTGTAATAGCCTGCCAAGCCAAGGAATCCACGCAATTGCTTGACATTTGTGGGTTCAGGCCAATCCTTGACTGCTTGAATCTTTTTTGGATCTGTGGAGACTTTCCCATTGCCAATAATATGTCCTAAATACTCCACAGAAGTAGCTGCAAAGGTACATTTCTCCTTCTTCACATAATAGGTGTTGTCTCTTAGTATTTGCAGCACCACCTTGACATGAGATTGGTGTTCTGCAAAAGTAGCACTATAAATCAATATGTCATCAAAAAAGACTAGTACAAATTTACGAAGGTAAGGTCTGAAAATAGCATTCATAGCTCCCTGAAATGTGGCTGGAGCATTGGTTAAGCCAAAGGGCATAACCAGCCACTCATAATGCCCAGAATGAGTTTTGAAAGCTGTCTTGTAAACGTCATTGGGCTCCATTCTGATTTGATGGTAGCCTGCTCTTAGGTCTAGCTTGGTGAACCAGCGAGCTGCACTAAGCTCATCAAGTAGGTCCTCTACAAGTGGAATCGGGTACTGGTTTTTGACAGTCTTTTTGTTCAAGGCTCGGTAGTCAATGCACATACGCCACGAGCCATCCTTTTTCTTTACTAGGACAATTGGTGTTGAGAAAGGAGAAGAACTCTCTTGCAAAACCCCTGATGGAGTAGTTCTGTAATCAGCTTCTCTATGACATCCTTTTGCGCAGCTGGATATCTATATGGCTTAATGCTGATAGGATCTGTGCCCTCCTGTAATATAATAGGGTGGTTATGACCCTCTCTAAGGGGTGGAAGCTCCCTTGGCTCTCTGAATATGTCCTGAAAACCATCTAACGTTTTTTGAATTAGAGCAGTGGCATTTTCATCAATACTAGAAACTGAAAAACACTCCAACTCCCTGTTATTAGCCTGAACTAGATGCACCAGAAATTTTTGGCTGTGCTGTAGAAAATTCAATTCAGCCTTCTGAGATTGGATGATCTGCCACGTATTGGGAGGATTCGCTTGCAATTTGCATATCTGGTCATTTTTCCAGAAATACATGACCATCCTTTCGTAGTCCCAAAAGGCATTTTTGATGCTTTTTAGCCATTTCACGCCCAGCACCATATCATAGGTATGTAAGTCCAATATCCTAAAGTCAAAGGTGAAGTCCAATCCTTGCATCTTCCACTTGAAGTCCCTCCAGAGTCCGTGAACCTTCAACATCTTGCCTCCTGCAACCTGTACATGTGAATTATGTACATAATCAGTTTTCCAACCCAATTTTTGAGCTATAGTTAGATCAAGGAAGTCGTGTGTACTCCCATTGTCTATTAAAATCTGTATAGGACGTCTCCCAACGTAGCCTTGTAGTCTCATTGAATCTGCATCATCAACCCCACTGATAGCATGCAATGAGATGGTAGGAGTGACCTCGTCATCTTTTGCTACTAGCTCTAGGTCGGGGTCATTTTCCACTTCTGCTTCTTCATATTCAATAAAGTGCAGAAGCATCCTCCTTCGCTGGGGACATTTGTGATCCTTGGAGAATTTATCATGGCAATAAAAACAAAGGTTTTTCTGTCGGTGCTCAGCCTCTTCTTCCGCGGTCGATGCTTTGGACACCCTGGGAGAATTCTTGATGGCAAAAGATTGGGGTTTAGTCGTGGCCGAATTGAAATTTCCCTTCGGATGGGGCCCACTGTTTGCATGTCCCTCCTTACTCCAAGAGGACGTGTTACGTGACGCTGGTGCCACCCAATTCACAGGTGTTGCGATCTTGGGTCCCTTATCCCACGGCTTCTTCTCACCGAGGCGTTCATTCGTGAGTTCTTGCATTCTTGCAAGACTCTTGGCTTCTCGCATGGACTTGGGCTTGAACATTCGGACTGGGCCAGCGATTTCTTCTTTAATCAAGTTTAAGTAGGCGTCGACTAATTGAGTTTCGTTGAACCCCACCTTAGCCGAGACTAAATCGAATTCCTCATTGAAATCGGCGAGAGTTCCCTTGTGACGCAGTCGCAGAAGATCGCCAATTGGAGACTCGTAAGCCGGTCCAAAACAATCTTTGAGAAGCGCGACATACTCCTCCCATGACGGTGGGTTTCCTGCCCATTGTTTTTCGCACGCTATATGCCACTGAAAAGCGCGATCATCAAGATGTAGGCTGGCGATTTTAACCTTCGCGTCGGCTGCCGTTTCATCCAGTTCGAAAAATCGTTCGCACTTTAGAATCCAAGCCACTACGTCTGTCCTTGAAAACCTTGGGAACTCCATCTTGGTAAACTGGGTTGCGCGCGATCGTCCATTGTTGTTCCCATTTGGTCTGCCGGTAAGCCGAGGCTGTTCTGGGTTCTGGAGAACAGTGGTGACCTCTTCTAAATTTCGCGCCATTGCCTGAAGTTGCGTTGTCATGTGGAAGACCGATTCTTGCAGTGTCGTTACCGTAGTCAATTGCTGTTCAACTGCTTGAAGTCGTTCGTCCATAACCTTGTTGCTGGATTTCGATCGTGTCTCCGGCATACAGAATCAGAGGTTGGCAGGGATAGGCCGAGAACCTGTGGCTCTGATGCCACTTGGTACGTTCTTGAATTTTAGGAGGATAGAAAAGGAGAAAGAGGGAAAAGAGTGACAGAGAGAGAGAGAAGAGAGAAACAAGAACAGGGGAGTTTGGTGGATAATCCTGGAATTCACTCAAAGTCAGTACATCTCGGTTTGATCCTGGAATCATCCTTTTATAGAAGGAAACTAACTAACTAACTAACGTAGTCTCGGAAAATGATAATCTAACGGCTATATTAAAATGTCCTAACTACCCTTACTTATATAACACGAATTATAATTACATAACAGTTTGTATCCTTACGAACATAGATATTGGTGGCTAGCATTGGCCAAATAATATTTTACTAATAAATATTCGAATTATTGTAACAATTAATGTGAAACAATGCAAATATAAAATAAATTGAAGTTGAAGGAAGCCTGAGGTTGATGGGGAAAACTCATGAATAGAGTTGGGATAGCATTGTCAAATAAATGAGTGTCATTTTCATGTGCAGTTCCTTCCCAGCCAGTTAATATGGAAGTAATGTACATACTCAATCACATAAAGCCACAACATTCTGTTTTGCATATGTTTTTTCACCGATAAACTTTGGCTGCACAAGATAAACTTTGGCTGCACAAAAAGACTAGAAGCACATGATATGTGAGTGCCATCAATTGTTTCTATTGCATCTTTGAAATATGGTCAATATAATAAATATCTCTTATTTTTGCATGGTATTCATGAAACGTAGGATTATGTGGCTTAATATATTTTTTTTAGATAGTGTAAGTGTCTAATGTGATGTGAAATTGCTTATTTATAGTTTTTCTCAAATGTTGAAATCTTTCTTGTATCATTCTATTACCTATTCCATGTTTAACCATGTTCAATGACATTGCACCATTTCTTCAACTCTCTTGTACTTAGAGTTCTGTAACCATGTTCAACCATTTTAGAGCATAACTAGTTGAAAATATGTTTGTTCATTTGAAACATTTCATGACAGTATAATGGATGCGCTTGTAAAATTTATTGACATGTGACTACCTGTTTGTTCACTAGTTCTACGTGGCTCTTTGTGCGCACAAGGTGCAAATAAGGCATCACATGTAGGAGGTGTGCTTACTGTGTTAATATGTGATACTTTATGTGTGCCGAAGAAATTTTATTAGGGCATCTATGATGTTGTCATAAAATATTTTAGATGGAAAAACAAATATTCAATTAGTTATATTTCAAACTGACTGAACATGGGTTATAAGGTTTTAAGCACATGGGAGCTGAAAAAATGGTTTCAATGTTGTTAGACATGGAATAGATAATAGAATGATACAAGAAAGAGTTCAACATTAAGGAAAAACTGTAAGTAGGTAATTTCATGCTATGCTAGGTGCTTACCTTTATCTAAGGAAAACATCAAGCTACGTGATCCTGTGTTTTTTGATGTCATGCAAAAATAAGAAATGATTCACAATATTGGCCATTTTTTTGGGATCAATAGGAGCAACTGGTGGCACTCACATATGATATGATGTGTGGTTAGTCTTTCTGTGTAGCCAAAATTTATTGAAATAAATGGATATGCGACATAGAACATCATGACTGTCTGTGATTAGGGTAGGTGCTTTACTTTCATGTTAGCGGGATAAGAAGGTACTGCACATGATGCTCGTGTGCTTGATATTACTATCTTGATTTCATCTATGAATTTTTTCCATTCACCTAAAGTTTATTTCTTCTGGCTTCAGTTCATTTTATATTTGCATTAATTTCACACTTGTTGTCAAATACTTTCATTGTTTATTAGCAAAATATTATTTGGTTAATGCTATCTATCCAACACCTATTGAGAACAAATGTGAGTGCTATCACCTTTCAGACTTGAGGTGAGAATTGAGATTTGCACTATAAAAATGACGTTTGGGGTTTGGAAGAAGTTTGCAATCTCACAGCTTGTGCTGAGGTTCACATAATCTGTGCAACAATGGCAGTCAATAATTTAACGGGAGAAATCTTGAAATTGATGTGGAAGTTATAGAAGTTGGAAATGAATATATAGTTGAACAAGAGAATAATTAAGTTGGTGAGGTATCCTTGTCAAATTGAACTATATCATTTTCAAGACAAATGAATCGTATTCATGACGTTATTAGAGATCAACTTACTGAGCATATGAAATCCAACTAGTTATCGAATATTGTTTAGAAAAACTTGACATTCTTTTGTTTTGTAATATATATATATATACACATACATTTTTATCTATGAAATATATCAAGTTAGCATTTACAAATGTTTCTCTAAATAATACATTAGTTTAATTTCTATCTTAAAGTTATAACCAACACACGTAAATATATTTTATAAAACTGATGTTCTTTTTAGTCATTTCACATCCAAACATACATTTTGATTATAACATCCAAGCAAGTTTGATTTGTCAAATTGACTCTTAAGAAAAGCTTATCCAAAATTGCACCAATTGACTTTTGCCTTGCCTTCATTTTGCAAAATGAAGTTGGGCTAGTAGTCAATTTTGTAAACGTAAATCCAAACAAGTCCCAAATTACTGAAGCAGTTGCTAAGAATTGGCTGTTTGTCTGCAGCAAAGAAGGAAAGAAAATTACAGCAGGAAGGAAAGAAATAGATTACATAAAAGATGGAAATAGAGAAGAGTAATAGGAAATGATCATGATCTGTCATAACCAGTGGAGGGGCTGTTTCACCTTGTTAAAAGGAGAAGCACATCACTATGAGTCATTAATGGCATGATTTCTAACATGGGTAGCTGTTATGGCTTCTTGTTCATCAACAGTTTTGGGCAGGGATGAGGACAGAGCCAGGCTGGTTTTTCAGTTCTCGTCCCTGATCCCATTCTTTCTTCTTACGTGTTTGGCAAGTAAAAAGCATATTGTAACGGGCCTTTTCTTAATATGTATACATTGCTGGATCCAGTAATATCAGTTTATTGGGATTACAATTTGGTTCCAGTAGGACAGTCGTTATAACAACAAATTAGTTGCTCTAGGAATATTGTGATATTAGTGTTTCAAATTAACGCGCCTGTTTTTAATATTGCATTGCCATGGTGATATAAGATACTTGGAGACATATTCTTTAGAGGTTTTGAAGCAGTATGGTTAAGAAAAGCGATGGCTGAATTGCAAGAGGAGTTCTGTATGGTATTTGACGAGAGTATGCGTATTAATTGCAAATTATTAACAAGTTAAAATAAGATCTGAGGGGCTTGCTACTAAGGGAGGCCTTTGTCCCTGAGAGTTAGCATATCAATGTTTCTGTGGCTATGAACTTGAAAATTCTTGGCTTTAGCTCTTTTTCCTTCTCATACAAGTTACAGTGTTCTGGGGAAAATGCTTTGCTTCGTTTCTGGGGCTATGAGCTTTAAAAACATGCTTTTACCTTGTCAAACCTGGTCGAGCAAATTCAAGGGATTGTATTATGAACGTCCAAACCTTTTAAAACCTTTTAAAGCCAAGTGGCAGGAGTTGCTTTTGTTGTAGCAATCTTCTTACTTATGAGACATATAACACTGATTTTTCTTTATCAAAATCCCTTAAGGGGTGCCTTTTACCTCTGCAAAAACCCCATAAATAATCGACTTTTCAACATAGAATGTTTTCATTCATTCCCTAAAATCTTGTGGTATACGCAAATGAATCAAGCTTGGTGAGAAATCCTCAACATGGGTTTGGTTCTTTTGGGAAGCATTAGGTGTAGTAAAATGGTAGTTATAAAATTGCCATCTTGATATCCTCACCTTTTATTCTGTTCACGAGTGGTATAAATTTCTTTACTGTGTCTGGCATTTAATCTATGCCCCATTGTTACTGTCAGTTTTTGATTGCTAGCAATGATTGACTTTGTTCATAGTTTAGTTCATCATAAGAACTTTTGGATCTTGATGGTCGTAGTATGCATGATATTTCCAATTTTATATACAGAATTGGTACTGAATTGACCAAATATTATCCTGAAGGTGAATTTAGCTGTTGATTGACGAAAAGTTGGATGCAAGGTAAAATTTGCTGAAATTGAACTATTTTTGTAGATTGATTATTTGATATAATTTCACTAATTTTTGCAAAACTGTAGCCTTCGTCTTCCTTGTAGTTCCCAGTTTTGACCTTGGATATCTCTGTATAATAATCTTGATCTCCACTGTAGATTTTCTGCTTTTGAAGTAGCGATAGAAATATCATGCAAAGATTTTCTTCCCTCTAATGTTTTCAGGGGGGTGGGTACTGCGGATGATTTCTCATTCAAAAATTATGGAATTTTAGGAGCATGTTTAGTTTGTCAATGAAAAGGGAAATTAAAAAAGAAAGAAAAAGAAAAAAGAAGGCAACAGTTCTGCTCTGTCTATTATATTCTGTTATTCTTGTAATTATTACTTATCTGGTCCTAAATGTGAGATTCGTTACACTACAAAATAGGTTTTACATTTAGGACAAGAGGAGTATTATTTATTAATTTTTAGTTTTTAAAGCATAACACCCGTCCAGCATATTATATGGAGTTTACAAAATGAGTTATATTGTTCTTGTCTTGTCTCATGAAATGTTATTGTCAGTATTTTGGAGGATTGTTTTGCTGACATTTACAGGGACTAGTCATGGAATAATTGGTATAAACTATAAAGATGGATTTAACAATTTTATGTATGGAGGATTTGCAAATCCGTTGTTCTAAAACTTTCCAAAGTCTGCTTCACGGAAATGAAGTTGAGAGAGATAAATTGATTGGAATGTATAATTAAATCAAATCTTGGTTTGTTGGCAAAAAAGGAAAAAAAAAAAAATCAAATCTGGGTTTATTTGCTAAGAATTATGGGAAAGCGGTTTATGAATGTTTGTGGTGGACTTCATTTTACCAAAGATTGATGAGAATGTGGATTCCCTATCATTTGGTACTGGACTATTTTTCATTTTGTGCCAAAGCAATTTATCTGTAGGATCTCTTAAAAATAATATTACTAGTTCTAATTATAAGATCTTTATAACACCTCGTATATAATATACATAATGAGTTTTTATAATTAGAAGGTAACATAAACCATAGATCTTGGGGTTCTCCATGTAAATGAGACATTGCTTTGTCCCACTTGTTCCATATCGCCGGAATAGAGTGAAATTGAGATGTTTGCTGCACTTTTGGCTACTTTAAGGGACCTCTGGTAATGATTCAACCCTCGTATATGCATGTATAAGCATGTCAACGTAAATAGGGTCTTAAAAATAATCTGATAGTATTACCTCGGGTGTTTTGTGCAAAAACTAATAGAGGGTTTGGTTACAGCTTAATTCACGCTGTTTCTTTTCTTTTTTTTTTAATATTATAATTTAAATCATTTGTAGATGATTATTTAGGTACTAAATTAGTTATCTAACTCTTACATTAGCTTGAATCCTTAATACAAGACATAGTTGATTAATTTGGAGAGATTAAAAAAGTTACTAAATTGAGGTAAGATGCTTAAATACCTTGTGAGTAGAGGGAGTATTTAGTACCTGAAAGTTTTTTTTTTTTTTTTTTGCTTTTTTATGTACTGGAAGTTCATTTTTGTAGCAAAAATATGTGGTCTGATTGGTTTTTTAAATGATCAAATTTAATGGCGAATTTAATGATGGATAACAATTATGGGAAAAAAATGTTGTGAAGGAAAGCTTTAAGGGCATATGAAAGTTTTAAAAAAAAATTGAGTGGATATTTGTAGGGTATTTAAGCATCTTATTCCTTACTGAATTACATAATTATAGCTTATGTTTTGTAATCTTTTAAATATTATGTGTATTATTAGAATATATATATATATATATATAAGTAATGCAATTTAGTTTAAAAAAATGACAATCCTAAATATTTTAAAGTAAATTAGTAACATTTTTAATCTTTCTAAATTAATGAATTGAGTTTTATATTAAGAACTGAAGTAGTATCAAGGAGGGTGTGGTATTTTGCAATGGAGAATGATTCATCAAATAAAATTTGTATATCGCCTCTGGTTTTTGATATAAGGTTTTGTTTGATTATTATTTTAGTCCTAAATATATAATCTCAATTTATTTTATCTCTCGTATTTATATTTTTTTAAAGATAGTTTTTCTAATAATGATAGTTTTATCCAATACATTTTATTAATAAAGATATTTTAGGAAAGATAATACCTATGATTATAAATACTTAGCTTAATTTTTGTTCTTAATTTATTTAGATTAGTTAACTAGTTTTTATATTTAGGATAGGGGTAGTATAAAACTATTTTTAGCAAGTTTTCAATTGCACAATCCACGCGCTGGTCAAGAAAAAATTTGCACAATTCACCAAGCTAAGCGAGCATGCTATTCGCCAATGCATTCGAGTGTCCACAGAATACAATTAAACTTTCTTCAATGTTGGTTGTTTGTTAAAAAATTCTAGTGATTTTTCTAAAATGGTTCGTCTTAGTTATTTGCATTAAAAATATTCATTAATGGAAAGCTTTGTTCTTGACAAAAAAAATTATAAATTTGAAAAATAAAGTGAATTGAAATTTTATATTTAGCATTAAAATAAACATTTCTACTGGTTCATGCATTTATCATGGAAGAAGGGAGCTCTTTGGTTGAGAATTGTCTGATCAAAGATAAGGGTATATAATTGAAAAGGAAAAAAAAAAGAAGAAAAGAAATTAAGTCTTAAATTTTAAAAATGACAAATAAATAGAAACAACTTCTTTGAAAAACAATTGATAAAACTTTAAGGAGGGAGTAAATTGCTAGTTTACGAATTATGGGTGTTTGTAACAAATTTCCAATTCAAGCAACACTTCCATTTATCTCTCCTAGTGCTGGTCGGAGTTATTCCATCATATTCTTTGGGGACACAAATTTATGTTAATTTATTCATCCAAAGTAAAGCTGAATGATGTGGATATCAAATAACTACTATAATCCTAAGAAAATTTATCTTATTTTTCAGTCCTTTGAAATCGGGGTTCAAATTCTCCTCAGAGATTTCTTTATTTTTAAAATATAGTTCTTTTTCTTCCATATTTTTCTTACTGTAATTGATATGTAAATTGATAACCAAAAGTAAAATATAACCAATGACAGTTGGATCAAATAGAGGATTCAGAAATTCAACATCTTTTAACCATGATCCCAGCGGAAGAGGTTGGAGTTGTTTAAACACTGACGTCCTGAGTTTGAATCCATGTAAATGTAGAAAATATCATTGGAAGACAATCTCCGTTAATAATTTGACCTAGTTTGAATTTGAATTCAAATTAGTTGGATTTCAGCCTGGCTTTGTCCTAAACCACATTGGGAAAACTTCTCTAATTGGCTCACAGTTTATTTAATGTTCATATTTATCGATATTGAATGATTGGCCTTAAAAAGGGTTCAGAAAAAGATGAGTATTAATGAGTGAGTTATGATTTTAAAGAACGCAAAGATTACTGTTAATTGACTTAATGCTCACTATTTATATGTGCAAGTATCTAGACGTTACTTTTCTGGTCCTATTTTTTGGTCCTATTTATCTTTCATTTATATTTATATGGATGTACAATTTTATCATTAATTTATTATCATGTTGACTTTATTTATATGAAATATAATATATATTAAATAGAGATAAAGTTGAAAAATTGTTGAATTTTAAATGAGAGTTAATGAAGTTTAAGGTTTTTTTTTATTTGTGTGAAACATGTTGGAAGTAACCTATAAATAAGACTAGAAGAGTACTTAACAAATCATTTTTTCTCAGCAATGTTAACTTTTTCTCTAAATCTAATAAGCAATGTTAGTATATATTTCATATTTTTTTAAATTAAAAGATTGAATCGCCATATTTTTAATGATTTGAGCTAGAAAATTTTTAACTTCTCATGTCAGATTTTGAGAGCACCTGCTTTAAGAATAACACAAAATCAACAAGTGATTTCAGTGTATACAAACAAATGATCATGAGGTGAAACATAGTAACTGTGTAGGATTTTTATGTCACAGAGGGAAGATTTCCCTAAATTCTTCTCATCATCTTAGAAACCATCTTATGTTATTTCACTAAATAATCAGTGAGAAGCTCCTTAGTCTAAACTGGATTTGGATCTCATGGTATACTCTACTACAAGTTGGGCAAAAGACGATGATTTGTTCTCTAACAATCTTGAGGGTAAGTCACACCCCTCAACCATTCCTGCATCAATGTCCATGGAAATTGTATGTAAATTGAAAAGGCACATCACAAAGTACAGAAACGAATAAAGTTCAAAGAAGAGTAAAAAAAGAATCTCAACTAACCTTGATTGAGAAGAAGAAACATATCACTATCAAGAATAGAAGTTATTCTATGTGCAATGGTAATGACTGTACAGTCAGAGAAGTGTTGCCGAAGAGTTTGCTGATCGAATTATCTGTGGCAGTATCAACTGATGCAGTAGCTTCATCAAGCACTAACACCTTCTCTTAAGTAGTACCCTACCAAGACAAATCAATTGCCTCCGACCCATGCTCCAATTCTTACCATTTTCACAAAAGCAATAAAGTTTCAGTTCTTTGGTCAAGAGCAACATTATATGTTTTTGTTCATGAAAAGAAAAAACAGAAAATTAATTCATCATTTCTTGTAGTTTCACCTAATTTTTAACCAAATCCCCATAGTTCTTTTAATTTAATTAGATCTTATAGTTTACTCAATCATAGGCATTAATCACCATGCTAGCAATTTAGTACTCCGATTTTTAATATAAAAGTGAGTTTGACTTTCAATTTGGTCATAAATACAAGAACTCAATACGCTTTGTCTTTTATTTTATTTTTTTCAAAATAGTCTTTGTAGTAGTTGAATATGTTAAAAGTTCTATCAAATAGTACTTCACCCAAAAAAAAAAGTTCTATCAAATAGTAATTTTAGCTAATTCACATAATTAGCAAGGACATTCTAAGAAAAACAACACTTATTTATTATAAATAAGTAACTTAACTTTTTCCTTAGTTTCTTCAAATTAGTCAACTAAATCTTATATTAAACATCGAAGGTAGTATTAATTGGGGCTTATGTGATTGCTGACTAAGTGACACATAAGTTGTCACAATATACAAGATAAAAAAGAGGTTCTCTTGAAAACAAAACGATAGAATAAGATTTATTTATTATTAACATAAGAATAAGAAATTACTATGCTTGTAATCATCTCTTTACACTACATAATCTATAATCTAGTTGATTTTTATTTTATTATCCATGTGGCAAAATTAATTCAAGCGTATGGAGAGTGAGAACCTAGTCATTAGCTACTGATGAGGTTTTTATTAGAAACTAACAAATTGCAAGTATAGGAAAAACACCTATAAATTGAGGAAACTACAAGGGCGTAATTAAAAAAAAAAAACCTCAAAAGATTTAATTAAGAATGATATGAAATTTCAAGAATTTGCGTATCAATTGTTTTCTCAAAAAAATAAAATAAAATAAAAGACCAACCTGCAGAGTTTAGCATTCCTTCTTTCTTTCGAACTACATCTCCAAGTTGACACTTATCCAAAGCCTAAAAGTGTGTCAATCCATAAAAGGCAAAACCACATTAAGAAACAAACATAAATATTTCCTTGTATGCATGTTTTTATCAAATAAAAGCATTCTTACCTCCCAAATTTGTTCATCATCGTACTCATCCAATGGGTCTAGGTTACTTCACACTGTCCCTCCAAACATTGTTGGCTCTTGAGGAATAATACCAAGTCTAGACCTTAAATCATGAAGTCCAAGTAATGAGATGTTGATGCCATCAATTATAATTTTTCCAAAAGTTGGCACAATGATCCGAAAAAGTATTTGTATGAGAGATGTTTTACCACTTCCTGTTCTCCCTACAATGCCAGCTTTTTGTCCTCCACGAAATTTACATGCCATGCCATGCAACAAAAGTGGCAAATGTGGGGCATAATGAACTTTCATCATATGCATGCATACTTATATTATTAACATGTAATGATAAAAGCATTAAAAAAGTACTACCTCTAGTCCGTAATATAAAAAGCTAGATTACTAATTTTGGAATATTAAAAGAAGTTGGTTATTTGTCACAAATGTGTGTTGATCTCTCTAAACTATCATCTTCAATCATATGCATTGTATGATTAGAATTATCCCTTGGTGGAAACCCTTGGCATTCAATAGAGATATTTTGGGAAAAGATGGAAGACAAAGTGGATTGAGATCTTATATTTAGGAATGAATCTAACCTCCTAATTAGCTCTTATATTGAGGATTGGATGTAATGGATCTTTTTATCAGCATAACCATAGCTTTTTGAAGATATGTTCCAAACCTCAATAGATGGAAAACTTAAGTGTTATAAACTATTTGCCACAAAATAACCAGAAAACAAGATCCTAACATGCAACATATGATTCAGATATGGACTTGGAGTTGAATTCATCACTAGATCACACTACCTGTAGATCACAAATATCAACTTCTCTGTGTGCTGGCCAAGAATAATCTAGTTGATTTTCTTCTATTTTAAGAGGAGGTTCACTTGGAATGCAACTATATTGAAGTATTCTTTCTACTGATATCATTTTGTTCTCCATCTTGCATAAAGATGTCATCAATGAAGCTTGTAGCAAGTTCAGATTAAGTCCATATGTAACAACTAAACCACAATACCTTTAGAAATAAGAAACAAAATAGAAGGTTAATAATTTCCCTCCATACCTCCTTTATGCAAGCATAGTATTTGTCAATCTGTTAAGCTAACAGAATTGAATTAGATACCTGGATTTATAGTGCCATTTGGCATAAATACCAAACATACCAAGGAGAAGGCAAAAGTGATAGAAGACAACATGTCCAAGCGGAAGCACAATCATTCCATAGCGCCATATTGAACATCAGCTGAGAATACTTATCCATTAATTTCATGTTTATTTTTGAAAATCTTGATTGTTGGTCAAACCCCCTTATGGTGGTTGACCCTGAAATGGTTTCAGCAAAGTGTTGGATGATTGGAGCTTTACATATTCCAACTAATCGCAATAGTTCTCAAGCAACTGGTATAAAATATTGCTTCAGAATGACAAGATTGTAAGGCATAGTTTGTCAAACATGCAACATGGTAAAGTATTGATCATATGTAACATAAATTTGTCAAATAAGTGCATAATCTTTGTTGGCAGAGCCGTAAAGCCAATGTAGGAAAGCAAATGATGTACACACAAGAAATATGTGAAAGCTTATATAATGTAAGATTACATGCTTAAAGCAAAATACCTGATACCAAATGCTGATTGATATCACAGGTATAAAGATGATGAAAACCTGCCATGCAACTTGAGACATTGCTATTATATTACCTAGGAGCTGGATTATAGTATAGGCAAATGGCCTTACTTGATAGGGAACGCTTAAACCCACGGCAATTTGGTCTATAGAAGCCTACAAGAAAATAAAAATGAAAATGAAAGATTGTTAATGACTCAGTAGATTGTTCTTGATATATAGTTGACAATAAAAAAAAAACCAACGAGATGAGAGGGACAATCAATTTAAAGGAGAAAGTTATCTAAAATACATGAACTATGATATTTTGTTACGATTTAGCCTAGATAAGAAAACAAGAAATAGAAAATTGGAAATTCTAGGTTTATACTTACTCTATTAATGATTCTTCCACTAGGAATGACATCAAAAAATGACACAGGGGCACAAAAAATGCATAAGTGCCTTTCACTAAAGAGCATAGCTGCAGTGTTGTAACCAGCAATAGAAAGAAGTATTGCTGTGGCGAGGATAAAAAGAGAACTTCCTACTAATATAGCAACATAGGTAGTAATAAGAGAATAAGTTGTGACTGGTGATTTCACATCTGATGAAGTGGGAGTTGCACATACCCTCTAATGGTTGCTACCAATTTGAAAAAGTTGAAATAGAATTTGTGCCAACAATAAACATGGTACAAGAGCCCCTCCATATGCTGTTGTAATAAATTTCCTATAGAATGAGAGCCCAACCTTACCTTTTTCTCTTTCTTCCTCATGAACAAGCTCGCCTTTTGGTTCAATTACATCATTTGTTTTTCCATATCGTGTATCTTTTTCTACCTCTTTTTCTTCAACTTTTGCACTAGAGATATTTACCTCTTCTGCTGTGCTTAATTTATCAAATACTTCCCTCCCATCTAATGAATCAAGGGCAGATAAAGCTTTTCTATAGGCACCAATAAATTTCATAACGTCAGTTCCTGAGTTAAGTAAATCATTGTACTTTCCACATTGAGTAATTTCACCTTCTTTCATCACCTAAACATTAGATATGATATGAAAAGATCAAAGGATACAAGACATGGTAATTCCTCTTTGATTTTATAAGGATACAATTTTGAGAATCACTCACTAAGGTAAGGTCAGCAGCAGGTAAGAACTCTACTTGATGAGTGATATAAATGACCATCTTTGAACTTAAAAGGCCCAGCAAACATTCCTTCCATATAGAAGTAATAAAAGAGCTAATCACTATAATATTTTAACAAGTGTGATGCCAATGTAAGGATCATCATTTGAAGAACATACGAGTAAGCATAGAATACTATACAAGTTAGAATAGCCAAATCCATATTGCATATAGTAAACAAAATTGTCACTACTACCTTAAAGAGGTTTGACCTCGTATGAGTATCTAGAGCACTAAATGGATCGTCAAATAGATATATATCAGAATCTTAGTAAAGAGCTCAAGCAATTTGTATTCTCTGCTTTTGCCCACCACTTAAATTGATTCCTCTCTCTCCAACAATTGTCTGATCCCCAAATGGCAGAATCTCCAAGTCCTTCTCCAAGCAGCATGCTTTAAGGACCTTGTCATATATTTCCCTATTCATCTCCTAGCCAAATAGTATATTCTCTTCAATCTTGCCACTTTGAATCCATGGAGATTGAGCAACAAAGGCTTTTGATCCACATATTCTCAATATTCCAGATGTCATTGTCACTTCTCCTAAAAAAGAAGAAAGTAGATTAGACTTGCCTGAACCAACAGTACCACAAACAGCAACTCTAGTGCCTTTAAAGAATTTAAGGTTTATGTTTTTCAGTGTCATATTAGGTGAAAATAAATCCCAAGAGAAATTTTTGTTAATTGCTTCAATTGCTATGTCAGAACTACCTTCTGGAAGCTTCTCTATAGCATCTGACTGCAAGTCATCGAGACAAAGGAATGATGCACTCCTATCTAGAGATACCTTAGTTTGTGCTATCATTGACATTGTGTCCGGAAGACTATAAATAGATTGTTGAAGCATTTGAAATGTTGCAAGTGTAGATAAGACCTTCCCAGATTCAAGTGAGATCCCTCTAAGTATACAAGTACCAAAAGTAACGACGGATACAAATGTGGGTGCAACCCAAAAGACAAAAGTGGTAATAGCAGTTGTAGAAACATATTTCCTTAACCAGCTTTCCTCTTTTTTCCTCAACTCAATAACCTTAGATAGAAACTTCATTTCCCGCCTTAGTAGTTTCAGAATCCTCATGTTCCTCAAAATCTCAGAGGTGGCCTTCATTCTTCTATCTTTTGCTTCGGTCAACTTG